CGGCCCTCGCATGCTGAATTTAGGACCGGGCCACCGGGCAAATGTCACAGATTACCATTCCGAGCCTGGGTGATGATCAGTCAGCTGCAACCACACACAGCTGGATAGAGCAGGACTTTTCCCTTTCTGGTAAAACCATCAACAGAACATTCCTAGCAGGCCAAATGCTTGTCAATGATTACCAGACATGGGCAATGTGGAGTCAATAAGTCATCTCCATGTCATGTATTGGTTCTACCCAGCCACTGAAGCAGGTGAGTCCAATCTTCACTGTGAATTAACCTGTGCAGATTGGACTCAACTGGTTAATTGGCTGGGTAGATTAAAAACATGACATGGAGATGACTTGTTGACTCCACATTGCCCATGTCTGATGATTACAAATAAAATTATGACATTTACATTTTTCTAATGGATTCACCTGGTTTAATTTTGTAAAAAGTCTTTGATTATTAATCGATTAATCAAAACAGTAATCGACAGATTAATCAATTTGTAAAATAATCATTAGTTGCAGCCCTAATTGTAACTATAGTATTTCTGACTTAATTTAATACTATTTTTATGTGTCTTCTTCTCCATAGCATCGGCTATCCCGTAGTAACGCTGGGCTTTGGCTTCAAGAGCTACGTTAGCTATAAAATGCGTCTGCGGAAACAGAAAGAAGTGCAGAAAGAGAACGAGTTTTATATGCAGCTGCTACAGCAGGCTCTACCTCCAGAGCAGCAGATGCTTCAAAGGCAAGAGCGAGAAGCAGAAGAAGGTAAGAGTCTGACATGAAGCTGATTTTAAGAGCGTTGATGTCACAAAAGTGTCTGAAAACTCTAAAGAAAAGCATCAGGACATTGATGCTGATTTAAAACAGGCTTTAATGTGGAAGAAAAAAAATTGAAAAAACTTATTCCTTAAAAAGGGTTTAAGAAAAAGAAAACCAAAACTCCCTGGGAACATAATGCCAGGGATCAGGTTCTCAACCAAAGGGCCACTTTGGCTGAGAAAGCTATTTCTCCCCTTTGATTTAAACCAGTAAACTTTGTTTGTAATCAGGATATTTGATATCACTCCTTGCTTTATTGATCTGGAACATCCCAGTGTTAAAAAAAACAAATAAAGTGATGCAATAATGCATGAACCTTAAATCTGCATATAAACCAGCACTTAGTTTATGCCAAAGATAACGGATAAAGACAATTGAAATGAATGATTTTAAATTAAACATGCAACAAAAACCTTCCTTGAAATGAGAGAAATGCATGTTAAAAAAAAATTTAAATCATTCTTGTCATATTAGTATTTGAAGAAATTGTGTCAAATACCGTTTTCTTAATCCATACAGCAGCACCAGCTAAAGGAGTATCTGAAGGGGACACGCCTCCAGTGTCGCAGAATGGCGCCCCGGCCAATAAAAAGGCGTCTGTTCCCTTACCGGAGCTGGAGTATAGAGAAAAAGGGAAAGACGGAAGAAGTGGCGGCGATAGTAAAAAGCAACAAAACAGCATCCTACCGTCATCGCTGGACTCTAAGCTCCAGGAGATGGAGTACATGGAAAAACATATAAACAACAAGAGACTGGCCACAGAGCTGGGCAGCACAGAAAACCTGTTGCTTAAAGAGGACAACAATTCCTCCTGTTCATCTTCATCCTCCTCCTCCTCCAAAAATTACAAAAATGCTAACACCAACACCGTAACGCTTAGCTCCTCGCCCTGCGGCCACAGTGCCAGCAACGGCAGCGTGCCCTCCTCGGCGCAGCCGTCCTCAACGGGGAAGAACGAGAAGAAGCACAAGTTAACGGTGGGAAAAGGGACGTCAGGCAGTTCCCACAAAGATCCCACAGACAACTGCATCCCGAACAACGAGCTGAAGAAGCCAGAGGCGCTCGTTAGGTAGGAACCGCATCCATCCAGTACAATGTACAGCTCTAGGCCAGTACATGCAAATCATCCTGCAGGTCACTCTGTGTTTGAGGATGATGTCGGTCTTTCTAATATTAAACACAAACTTGTTGAGGAATTTTATTTGAGCTCAGACGCTGAATATAGATTAAAGTCTCCAAATGGGTTGATTATATGGAAAAGCAATACTGCAGAACTGATTTAGGGAATAGTAATAGAAACTAGAGCTTAAACCATTGGATTAATCGTCATTAATTGATTATTAGAATAATTAGTGTTGCGCCGATGCCATTTTTTGGCCCCGATACTGATACCCCATACCTGTCTGTGCAGTATTGGCCGATACCATCCGTTTGAAATTGATGTGTGTGTATGCAGGGCTCGATGTTAACCATTGCCCGCTAGCCCGGGGCAAGTAGTTTTTATTGTCGGGAGAGTACAAATTTCATTGCATTTGCCCGCCAGGCGAGTGCAATGATCGCAAAAAAAAATGTTATCATTCAAAATTACTTTAAAATCACTGACATTCGCTGAAAACGACCCACAAGCATTTCGGCGCCATCTTTGTCGTTTTGTTCACATTCTTGCGTGATTTTAAAAAGCCGCGTGATTTTCCGCCAGATGGCGTGATTCAGCTCTTGGGGAGAGAATTCTGCAAAGCAGCAGCTGGATGATGAATTTAATCTATACTATAATACACGCTAGATTACAAATGATCAGTCAGGGATTAGGAAAATAATAATTAATTGTATGCGCACAGTGTAAATATTTCCATCATATGGCAGTCTTCTGTACAGTGGTCATACATTAAAAAAATTTTCATAAATTTTTTTTCTCTTAGACATTGGAGTGGTGCATTTAAATGGTATAGAGCTAAACATTTTAAATTTGTGAGTAGTAGTAGTGTAAGTTTTTAACCTGTCAATTTTTTGTTTTGTTTTTAACATTACAATTTATATTTTTCTAAGCAAACAACAGTTTAAAGCAATGTTTAGTTTGAACAGAATGTGCAGGAAGGATTGAAAAGCATGTTAACACGGTAATGTAGGCTTGAGTTCATTATCTGATGCTGCATGCTGATACACACCAGGAACCTGGAAACCTACTGAATTACAAAAAACATTTAAAAAACAAACATGTTTCATTGATATATATACAAAAGTGAATATTAGGAACTATATTTATCAAACATTATACTGGGCAAGTAAAAATTGTTTCTAGGCAAATGAAATGTGAAAGCTTAAAAATCCTTAACGTCAACCACTGATATATATATATCATTGGTATCATTTTTAAGCGTGGTGTATCCCACTTAAAGGGGAATGCTGTTTTTTTTTTTTTTTTTTTTTTTTTTTTTTTTTTTTTTACATTGGGCCCTTGATTTTACGTTATTACATCATGTTCTACTCACTCATATGAGTTTTTTGTCATTTGGAGCTGTTCTGAAGATATTCTGTTAGGTTATATCCAGGTAACGTCTTCCTATGGGCAACGACTTGAAGGCACAAACTAAACTGTTTATCATTTATAGTACGCCAGCATTCATAACATGTAGGCGAATCATTGTCCCCCAGACATCCACGGTTATATATTTTATATAACCGTTTTATAACGTCATCCATGTTTAAGTAGGACTTCTGTTGGTGTCCACTGTAAACTCTCCAAACGGTTTATAAGAAATCACAGATTTGTATGTTTATGTTGAAGGTTTAATGGGAGTTTTGTGCTTTTAGATGACCTGCTTCCTTTATCTGTTCTGAAGGAAAAGATGTATAAAAAAAAAAAAAGAAAGTTTCCTGAACGTGTCGTCTGTTTTGACTTTCGCCTGGCACAGACTGGAGCAGGACATTAAAAAGCTGAAGGCGGACTTGCAGGCCAGCCGGCAGGTTGAACAGGACCTCCGCAGCCAGATTGGTTCACTGGGCAGCGCTGAGCGCTCCATACGCACTGAACTGGGCCAGCTGCGCCAGGAAAACGAGCTGCTCCAAAACAAGTAAGAAGTCTTCATACATTTGGGGCGGTGATGCGTAAAAGAATTAGACATATTGCTAATAAAATGGTGACAATTTGTTTAAATATTTGCCTGTTGTATGAGACAACCCATGAAGTTAAACTGATAATTTCCAGTTTCAATACCTCTAATTTTAAGCTGCCAGATGTGTTACTAAATGTTTTTTATGCCCTAGGCTTCATAATGCTGTGCAGGCAAAACAAAAGGACAAACAGACAGTCGGGCAGCTAGAGAAGAGGCTCAAAGTAGAACAAGAGGCCCGAGCGACTGCTGAGAAGCAGCTCACAGAAGAAAAGAAGAGAAAGAAACTAGAGGAGGCCACAGCGGCCAGAGCAGTAGCATTAGCAGCAGCCTCCAGGTACGTTGTTTCCTTTTTTCTACCAGCAGCTTATTAATGACTGAAGATTCAATTAAGTTTATTGCATCTTCCAGAGGGGAATGCACAGACACGCTGCGGCGGCGAATCACTGAGCTAGAAGCAGAGGGTAAAAAATTAACAATGGACATCAAGCTGAAAGAAGAGCAGATACGAGATCTGGAAATAAAAGTTCAGGTAAACTCACTGCATGGAGTCGTGTTGTTGGTTTGCTTTGTACCTATAGGACATTTTTAACTTGTTTTATATTTCAGGAACTTCATAAATATAAGGAAAATGAAAAAGACACAGAGGTGCTGATGTCAGCGCTGTCAGCGATGCAGGATAAGACTCAGCACCTGGAAAACAGCCTGAGCGCAGAGACCAGGATCAAACTGGACCTCTTCTCTGCTCTGGGAGACGCCAAGAGACAGCTGGAGATTGCACAAGGTGCGCCAAATACCTGCTAATCAGCCGTTATCGTTGAATTCATTCTCTTGTTTTATATTTAAGGTGTAAATTAATTCTTAATTTTAGGTCAGATCCTTCAGAAGGACCAAGAGATCAAAGATCTGAAGCAGAAGATAGCAGAAGTTATGGCGGTCATGCCCAGCATCTCTTACACACCCGACACCAGCAGCATGACCCCCGTCACCCCCCACTACTCCTCAAAGTTCATGGACACCAGTCCCTCCGGCCTGGACCCCAACGCTTCTGTTTACCAGCCCCTCAAAAAGTGAACGTTTTCTTTCTTTTATTTTTAATTTTTTTCTTCCAGCCCCTCCCTCTCCTCTCTCTATACTTCTACTGCTCCTGCCGGCCCTGTCGTGTCGCAGCTGAGAGCTCGGTTTTCTTCTGTTCTCTCTCTTTTTGCCAGGTCAGAAGGATGTTGTAATGTGTGACTGTGTTTGTTGTAGTTAAAACAAAAGACCAAAAAAAAAAAAACTGACATCCCTGGAAAATTAGAAAACCCTCAGTTTTTATTTCAATGTCTGGTGAAACCTCACAGATTCAGGCGCGTATTTTTCATCTCAAGGATGCCGCTCCCCTATTGCTGCGAACCAGCAATAGGGGAGCGGCATCCTACCAGCTCCAGGGAGAAGCAGACGAGTCTCTTCCACTCCATTGTTCTCTGATTCATATCTCCATGTGTTTTTGGCACATTTGTACAACCGGAGGAATGTATTTCTCGCGTTTAACCCAAAAGCCGGCACTGAGATGATGCTGCAAACAGATTAGATTAAACTTTATGCATGCCCTGGCCTTTATGAGCTACTTATGATTATTTTTATTTGGAATAATATGGTTCCACCATATTTATAAAAAAAAAAACAACAAATGTAAAACATGATCCAAGTGCTTTTTCTGTAAGAGAAAAGAAATCTTTCTTTCTGTGCGGATGGATATTTTTCTCTCCTTACTTAAATTTCTCCAACATCTCAAAAAAAGGGACTTTCTTCCATAAAGAAATAAGATGGCTAATCTTAATCAGTTTGGAAACTGACTGCTAGTCATGCCTACCTGTGAGGAGTGCTTGTTGATCTGCATGATCCCGGTGCCTAGAGGGAACAACAAAACGCCGCCCTCCTCAGTTAGCCTGCCAAATTCCTCCCGAGCCGGAAAAGTTAGTCAGGAGGCAGGAATTCTATTGAGACACACCTTTTAAAACAGGTGTTTACTTTAAATTAACCACATTTAAAAATCATCAGATGTATAAATAATCAGAGCAGCTGAACATCTCCGCTTCATTAAAGCCCAAATCTTTCAACAAAGCAGCAATAAGAAGGAAACAAAATGATCCGGCTTCGAAAACTGGAATGCTTTTCCTTTTGGAAGAATGTACTGCAAATAATTTATTCACATATTTGTCAACTTCCAGCTGAAAACATCTGGGAAAACTGAACCAGGCAGAGGATTTGGTCACCCATTCTGTTTTTAATTTATAAAAAAAAATTTGAAACAACCCCTTTTTCTTTTTTTTTCTTTTTTTTAAAGTTGTAGCTATTGGGTCTGATTTGGTTTCCCCCATCGACTTAAGTAACGCCTCATGGTTTCATCCACCTACTGTATATGGAGAAATATTCACTATAAACTCTCAGATTGGAGAAAAAATGTTGTGAAAAGTACAGTTTGGTCAGTTCTGTCAACAGATTGGTAAATCCAAGCCCAGGTTGTTTTGTTTTTTGTTTTCTATGCCCACAGTCAGTTCAGTTTCCTCCCAGGTCTGACCTTGGCTGCGCTCTCGCTCTGTGAGGTTTACAGGAAATAAAAAATAAAAAAATAAATTCTTGCAAACATATCTACTTGTTTCTGTTGTTTTCTTTTTGAATCCACTCACTTTGTAACTCACTCGCATGTAAAAAGAAAAAGTGCAGGATAGTCTCTGCACCACTAGGAGGCAATGTCAACCTCTACATGCCAATCAAAACAGATTAAAACTGTCCTTATAGGATGTGGCTAATAAGTTTGACGGAATCCATTATTCTCCCCTTTTATGACCATAAAATCCCATTTATAGCTGACAAAAGGAAAGGAATTAATAAAATCTCCACGGGCGTCACTGAACATGACTTCCCCAAGCATAGTGATCATATCTATAAGAAATGAAAGCCAAGGAGGAATCCTTCAGCAGTACATTTTCATTTAACACCACAGTCCTGCATTCTTTGCATTTTATATTTAGTTTCACTTCTCCCTCTGAGTTTCTGATTTTATTCTGAAATATATCCTGAAAAGACATTTATCCCAGACTCTCCTGTTAATCTGAGCACATATTTTCCCCTCCTCCTGACAGGGACGGTGTATTTCTGGCCTCTGCTCTGCATTCTGCTGCATGCTAGGCCTGAAAAACCTGCCCAGCAAGAAAAACTCATTCCTTCCATCTTAATCACGCTTTAACTGAAATATATGTTCTACTCCCTTCTCAGAAGATTATTACTCGGCATAAAACTCAGCAAAGGAAGTCAGCATGTTTGTAAATGGATAAAAAAAATAAATAGATATATACAGATTGTTATTTTAGTTTCATTTTGATCCGAATTCTCAAATCTATACAGATACTTCCTCGTTTTCTGTTTTAAGAATGTTCTTTGCTTTTCTGCACATAAGTGAATAAATAAAAGATGTGCATGGGGTAGAAATAGATCTCTGGCATGTTGAGCAACCAGTTCACGTGCAGCTCTACATATTCCCCCCCAGGCAGCTGTAGTCTCAGTCTAAGGGGTCCAGCTACCTGAAAGCAGCAGCATTTCACAAAACCTCCACATGACAAAGCAGAAAGATTCATTTTTTTACAGTCCTACTCGTGTGAGACAGGAAAGAGAGCAGAGTCCCTCCTTCTTACCTGGCCTCAGACTTCTTACAGCCCTAATAATGTCTAATGTGTTCCCAGTGACATCTTAACCTCATGAACTTGTTTCTCTCAGCTTGTTATGTCATGTATACGTCAGGTTCTGCAGGATGTTTTGCAGGCCTTTCTCCTGAGTGGTTTCATTTAAAGGCTAATGATATAAACTCAATGCAATGCATCATGGGGTGTCGGCTGGTATCAACTGAAGCCTTTTCGATAAGAATCCACGACAGTATCAGTTTCTCTGAGAGAAAAAAATCCCATTGAAACAAAGAACTTCCCAAATACATAATAAATGAATATAAATGTGAATTTTTAGTCCATTTTGGTTTCTAGTAAACTATTAAATGTAGCACATTGAAAAAATGTCTATGTATTTATCGCACATAGGAAGCTCCTATTGCCTTACCTTTGGGGAAATGAAATTCATTACACTGAAAAGTAATATTAGTCATGTTTACAGCGTTCAACTGGAATATAGTTTCTTATTTTATAAAGATGGTAGAAAAATATGAACGATTAAGGACTAAAATCTCCATGGGAATAAAAAATAGAAAATATACACCCGATATATTGCAGTTGAAGGCAATATTCTAAACAAACAAAAATGTGACTTACCAAGAATTGTCATTCTGATCAACAAAAAAACAAACGCTATTACATAGTGAAATGTTTTGTATGAATGAATATATAAACCCAAGTTAATCATAGCCCTTGACTTTGAGTAAATATCTGGTTATATACATTTTTTTTAGCTTAAAGAACTGTTTTCATTGCAAAACATAAATCATCAAAGATAACAGTGAAGATATAAAGCAAGCTTCTTCTAAATATTGGGTGCTTTAATCACAATCGAGGGTTTACAAGGTGATATGGTGGTTCTGGACAACATTTACATGGGAGGCCAGAGTGGAGCTCAGTACATAATAACAAACACACACACAAAACATGCAAGAATTTATAACTTAGCATTTTATCACTTATGTTTTGTCGTTATAAAAAATTCCTTTAGTATCATACAACAAAAACTTATCTATATGTAAAAATAAATGAGTTTATTTGCCCTTTATTTCAGCATGTAAATATGATGATCGACCAAAGGAATGAGTATTTATGCTCTTAAAAATAAGCTAGATGTTGGAATCCACTAACTCATTTGAAATACATTAATGGAGGTTTTGCTTCTTATTTTTAAGGAAAATCGTTTTATTCTATTAATAAATTGTCTACATTACCTCCTCAAATCCAGGGCATGTTATTTCAGATGATTTACTAATATATATCAATTCTTTCTGTGTTTGCTTGCAGTAAAGGGGCCATAACATCCAGAAGCACCCGCGCTAGACTGGGGCCAACAGGGGCCCTTGTAGAACAGGTCCTGGTCCCTGTTATAAAGACATCATACTAAACCTAAAAAATAAATCTAATGAACACAGGGACATAATGACCATGGACGGTTCTAGACAGGGGCCAATGGTGGCCAGTACCCCTTTAGATCATGTCCATGGCTCCTGTTATGGCCCCTGTACTGAAGACATAGCAATCAAAGCGATTCTAATGATGATCTGCGCTGGAACAGACATGGTTACTTATAGGTTCTTTGAATCTATTTCATTTTTTTTCTTTCCAAGTTCTGTTTTTTCTAATTATCTAAAAACAATAAAGTGATAGCTTCAGTGGTATTGAGATAGGACCCCAGTTTTCATCTGCTAAAAGATTTTTTTTTTAATTTTTACAGCCAAATGTATCAGTTTTTCTTGAGTTTTAATTCAGATTTTAAGGAAAATATTAATTTGAAATTAAATTAAGTCAAAAATAAGTCACATTCCTAAACTATGAACATATATTTAACTTTTATTTTGCTTAATAAGAAATAGAGTTTTAATTAAACCTAATTGAATAGAAATTTCACTTCATACAGCTCTCTTAACATATTTGAATCCCTTGCCTTGTTTTTTATTTCATGCTTTTCTGTGTCCCCATAAAAAACACGCTGGCCCCCTCCTGGCCCCCTGGTACATTTGGTCTAGAACCACCACTGATAATGACTGATTCTCCCTTGAACCCATTTCTTTTTTTTTCTATACAGATCTTTTTAATTAGGATTTAAACAGTAATATTTCAACTCAGTTTATTTCTATAGCACCAATTCACAACACATGTCACCAGATCATGTAGTCATCCAGTTTTCTATCTAAGGAAAACCAGCTGATTGCATCGACTCATTGACTCCCTCACACTAAGCATGCTTGTAGCAACAGTGGGGAGGAAAAACTCCCTTTTAACAGGAAGAAACCTCCAGCAGAACCAGGCTCAGTGTGAGCGGCCATCTGCAGAGGCCGGCTGGGGTTCAAGGAGACAGAAGTAGAGATATAAAATGCAACCGTAAAAGGCGGCCCCATCCAGGAAACACACGGCCAGGCAAAAGAGAGCACATCCAGCCAGTCACAATCAGAGAAACAGGACTACAACATCTAGAAACAATGGTGTTGATGGCAGCAGCACAGCTGATATTTCCCTCCAGGATTGAGTCACAGCCAAACAGGAACAGACCAGGTGAAGCTGCTATGAGAAAAAGCAACTAACAGATTCTACAGAATGTGAGAATAGAGATAGAATGAAGCAGAATGATGAAATAGGGATGAGGATAGAGGTAGGACCATAGTTTTCATCTGCTAAATGTTATTTTGATCCAAATAAAAAAAAAAGATGTGTAAATTTCACTTTACTCAATGCATAACCATAAATATAGTCTAGAATCCCTCCTGACAGAGTATAAATATTTTTTAAAGCTTATTTTATGCTTCCTGTGCCCCCCATGAAAACACGCTGGCCCCCTTCTGGCCCCCTGGTACATTTGGTCTAGAACCACCACTGGGGACAATGTAAGCTGTGTGTGTGTGTTAAAGGTTTTTAAAACTTAAAAATATAAAAATGTCATTCATAATTAAAACTTTTTCTTTTAATACATCTGGTAGATTAAATGTAGAATAGTTTTTGTTCTACATTTAGTTTCCTCTCAGCGCACCTGCAGATTATCTGGATTATAAATGCACCTGCATAGTGGATTAAACTAGTGGATCATTTGTGTTTGGGGTGACTGGGTGGGAGCAGATCCGCACAGAGGCTTTAGCCACAGCGCGCTGCCGCTCCAACCGCTTGCGTAACACCACAAAGCGTAGCGCGCGCAGGCTACCCGGCTCATTTGCATACAGAACACCGCCCAGGGGGACGAGCATGATAATCCACCGCCGAGAGAAGCGAAGCCGAGGTGTGAGCAGAGCGAGAGGAAAACCTCCGATTATTGATATTTGTAAAAGTTTGGACGCGTCATTGATCAGGCGGAGGTTGAGGAGACGGACAGGCGCGCGGCGGGCTCTTCGCCCCACTTCTGGCTTCAGACATGGACGCTTTGAAATCCGCTGGAAGGGCGATCATCCGGAGCCCGAGCATTGCTAAACAGTCGTGGGGAGCAGGCAGACATAAAAGTAAGTGTGATCCTGTTGTGCTCCGCGCTGCTGTTATCTGAGCTGCGCTGCGTTTTTTCTCATCTTCACAACTTCTGATGTCGGCTTTAAAAAAAAAACGCGTGACAATTAGGAGAAGAGATGCCACCAGAGCAGAGCTTCACTCCAGGAAACATACAGACTTGACATTTAATCGCTAAGCTGATCTTTTTAGGGCTTTTTTTTTTTTTTAAGTGAACTCCTTAAATGAGGTCTAACGTTAAGTTGGGCGCGCGCAGCCGTCACGTCATTTTTCCCAGCCTGGTTTGGTGGCAGTGATCAGAGATCCAGACCTGAGAGACACAAGGAGGGAGAAATGTGTGAATGCCTTGGTGGCAAGCCTGTGCAGTCCTGTTGCCATGGAGATACGCAATGTGAAACAATAAAACACGCGGCCGGAAGGAGCGTCGGTAGAACTGAGAGACATTTCTGAGCAATTTATCAGCAATTTAACTAACCTGAGGTGTATTTTAGCGCGTCATGTCAGAGTTTGACTTTTAGGCCCCCCCCCTCCTTCCAAAACACACACCTTACATTGTCCCCAGGGGCGGTTCTACACCAAATGTACCAGGGGGCCAGGAGGGGCCCAGCGTGTTTTCATGGGGGCCACAGAAAAGCACTAAATAAGCTTTTTTTCGCCCCCAAAAACAAGCAATAATTTAATCCGCTATGCAGGTGCATTTATAATCCAGATAATCTACAGGTGCGCTGAGAGGAAACCCTGAATGTAGAACAAAAACCATTCTACATTTAATATACCATATGTTTTAAAAGAAAAGCTTTAATTATAATTGACATTTCCTTATTTTTAAGCTTTAAATAATATTTATACTACCATATTTATGGTTCTGCACTGAGTGAAGTGAAATTTCCTCTTAATTTTTTTTTTTATTTGGATCAAAATAACATTTAGCAGATGAAAACTATGGTCCTTTCTCTTTATTAAAGTTTAAATCCTAATTAAGAAAAGATCTGTAAAGAAAAAAATTAAATGGGTCGAAGAGACCATCAGTTATTATCAGTGGCGGTTCTAGAACAAATATACCAGAGGGCCTGGAGGGGGTCAGCGTGTTTTCATGGAGACAGAAGGGATTCAAATATGTTAAGAGAGCGGCATGAAGTGAAATTTCCATTCAGTTAGGTTTAATATTAGGTCCTTATTAGGTCCACTATACATTAATAATTTGGGAATTGTATATATTTTTGACTTAATTTCAGTCAACATTACCGTTTTCTATAAAATCTGAATTGGAATTCAAGAAAAACTGATAAATTCAGCTGTAAAAGTTAGCATATTTTTCTATTTGTTTTGAAAAAACATTTAGTTAATGAAAAAAATGATCCTATCTCAATACCATTGAAGTTATCACCTTATTGTCTTTTAAATAAATAGTAAAACTTAATTTGTAAATAAAAAAAAAAGAAATGGATCCAAAAGACATATCAGTAACCATGTCTGTTCCAGCGCATATCATCATTAGAATTTCTTTGAGTATTATGTCTTCAGTACAGGGGCCAGGACATGATCTACAGGGGCACCGGCCCCCGTTGGCCCCTGTTTTGAACCGCCCATGATTGTCCCCCCATCATCACAGACCAAACAGCATCCGGCTGCAAGGTGTGTGGAAAGCAGGTGATAATTTGCTCTGGATGCTCCTGTTTGCTGTGACTCTGCATTAAGTTGACACCGTCAGTCATTAATATCACATGCTGATGTCATCTTATTTATGCATGTCACTTAGAAGCTTTTGATCTTCCCCTTTTTTTATTCTCTTTGACGGTTTCAAAGTAATGATAGGCTTAAATTCCTGTCTCAGCTTGTTGTATCATGCTTCAAACTGCATATAACCCATTTGGGGTTTGTTTTTTCTTGCCCTCTGCATTAGATTGCTCTATTTAAGCTTAGGTAACTGTTTTTAGTGACACTGTTCTGCTGCAGTCCTTCAGTGTTCCCATCGCATGCTGCTACAACTAATCATTTCCCCATGTTAGCATTGCTTTATAACATGGTCATTATCCTTTATCTCCCTATTTTAAGTAGGGTTGGTGGATCTGTTTCCTGTTTGTTTTTGACTATCTGGAGCCACTGGAGAATGACTTTTTTATTTTTTTTTAAAGGGGGGGAGAAGGTTTGTATTATCAGCGAACATTTTTTTGAGCTTCTGTCTGGTTAAACTTTCTAGTAAGGGAACTGTGGTAGATAGAAAAGCTCTGTCTGCATTTATGTTGTTTTTTTATGTTGTCAGCATTAAAGCAGCTTTACAGACAGCTTTGTTGGTTTTGTGGACTGGTTGAGCTGACTCATTTGAATTTTCTACAGGGCTGGGAAATTGATGGCATTTGCATCATTTTTTGCAGTTTTTAAATTGCAGAAGAGCTCGTTTTGGTTGCATTGTCTTAAATAAGAGTAAGATGCTGCCTTTTTTACTCCAGTCCTTTAGGGGGCAGTAGTAAGAATAATATGAGCTTTCCTTAAATCGTTGTCATGCATTGCAAAAAATGTAAAAAAAAAAAATCCACTGGACTTGGTTTCCAAGTTTGAAGATGTTTCGCTTCCCATCCTGGAAGCTTTTTCAATTCAAAATTTCAGAAATAGTGTTGAGTTTGAGGCTTGCATGCTTATCTTAAAGGTATAGTGGAGGATGTTATTTTTCCAGGTGGATCATCAAAATAAGTGGCACTACTAACTGTCAATCATTCTAGTGATATGTTTACGTAAGGTCGTCCTACGTGCTCGTCCCTATTTTCACTTACAGGTGGTGAGTCTGCAATAGTGGAAAAATTGCGAATCTTCTTTTGGAAAGTAAAGACTAGTTTATGCTCAGAAACTAGCCCCCCTCGCCCCCGCCGCAGACACTCTGCTGCACCTCTCCAAAATTGTAGGTGACTGCAGACAGGAGGGCTCTGATTGGTCAAATCTACATCCGCTCTACACCATGCGTATTTCCTGTTTGGTACCTTACCGGCTGGTTTTGTTTGGATGACCGCCATTGTGGAAAACGACTCGTCAAGATGGACCAGCTAGAAGAGCGAGGTGTGAGAGAACGCTGCCTTTTTCACCCTCATGTCCCTCCGTTGCCCCCCACTTCCTCACCTCCTCGGTCGTATCTAGACCCACAGCTAGTTGGTGATACTCCCTTTTGCGTTGTGGAGTGGAATAATGTCAGTGTATACAACCTTAAAGCTGTATAAGCGATGCAAACAGCTACTTTCAAGCAGAGCGTGCACAAGGAGAAATAGGCTTGTGCATGCTCTTGCACATGTTTAATAGGCGTTTCCTCATAGTGGTTATATGGTTTTGCACATGCATTCATTTTTTTAACTGGAGAGGGTGGGTCGCAATACCCTCCACAATACCTTTAATTTTTCTCTTAGAGGTGTCTTCTTTATCTATGTCCATCTACCTGTTTGGCCCTGCAGTGTGGGCCCCTGTGTCCCCTAAACAAAGTCACCCAATAAGGGGAAAGCGGATGTAATGGAGATTGCTTCCTTCAGGGTTGCTTTATGGTGTAGTAAAATCCTTACAGATTTACAGCACTGTCGCCGACTGTTTGAAGAGTCGGCCGTGGTGTCATGTGGCAAAATCCTGCTTTGTCACAGTTTTTTTTTTTTTTTTCCTGAAGGGCATTTTTAATCCTTAGAGGGGAAGATGAATGTTTTCTCTTCCTCTAGTTCGAGCTGACACAGCTGTCAAAATATGACACTCCATTATGTCATAATAGTCATTTTAGATCATTTCTAATAAGCACTGTGATGCACAGTTGTCGTATAATGATTATTACAGGCAAGCAGCTGAGGTCTGCGTCATGTTGCATTTGGCTTTTTGAGTCTAGAGGGAAAACTGTTATATTCCAGGTTATAATAAGAGCATCTTGGATGTGCTTCACGTTTTCTACACTCTTTCTTCTTCTATTAAAGTTGGCAGGAAGCAGACTGGTTTGCTGCTTCTCTTTCATGGTGGGAAATAATTGATGTAATCTTCTTTAGCCATATGTCGAGACATATGCTCACGGGCTTTATCAGCTCCACTGTCGGGGGATTTTGATTAGTGGAAGAAAGGAGAACTAAAACATCTATGTTACTGCCCTAAATGCAGACTGTCTCCCCGGTATTCGTCACAGTGTTGGTGATTCATTGTTCTACAGATTTATACATCCTTCCCTTTTAACACGTTGGTGTATATTGATTAGCTGTGATTGTTTTTGTTGGTTTCTTCTTGGTGTTTTTGTTCAACAAGTTGGAAAGAAGCTTGGATTGTTCCTGTTTCTTTTCCTGAACCCAGATGATCTAACGTTTGGTGAAACTGTCTAAAAGTGGCCGACAGGTCAGAGGAAATCCCTCAGGCTATATGTTCTGTATATGCTGAACTAATCATGTGTATGATGCTCATGGGAGTCAGAGATTTTGGCACAGGCGTAACTTTCTGAAGGCCTGGTGTGGACATGTCCCCACCAATAATTTCCGCTTTTTTTCTCCCTTTTCCGCTTATTTACTTTAGCCAAAGGTAGCAGAGGTTGAGTGCAACTATCTGAGTCCGTGTATTTTTTTCCTCTCTGGAGCTGCTCCCGTCTCCCACCTCTCGGTGTAACAACATCAGATCTGTAACTTTGAGACATCCGATCTTCGGTTGCATTTCACTGCTTAGAGAGTAGCTACGAGGTTGGAGGAGAGACACACAGCAGCACTCAGTGAATATTATCCAGCAACTACTTTAATGTTTAAATAAAAGTTGGAAGACGGGTTGGTTAAAATAATTACAGATGCCAGCGGAAAATCTGTTCCTTAGACATGCAAGCTTTTTCAGCTAAAAATGGCAACAGATTGTAAGTTTAAAGTTGGTATTGTAATTCAAGAAGCTTGAGAAAACATAGTTTGTTCTTCTTTATTAAAAAAGCTTTGGTTTTTCGGGGACCCTTGCTTCCCGTTTCCGGTTTACATTTTTTTCTTAGTGTATAGATTGAATCAGACTGCAGAGCTTCTAC